CGTTGGTCTAACCTCAAGCTTTCAAACGCCGGTTAAGATGCTTCAATTTCATTCTTGGTTCAAGAAATATTCATATGTGTTGAAGGTGATAAAAGTGAAAAATAAAAAAAAAGTTTAACCGTCTCCATTTCCCAAACAACGGTTCGGTGGAGCAAAACATATATACCATTTCGAAGCAACATGAGCTTGTGCATCATACTGTATCCCCACTTTTTCAATTTCCATGAATTTTCTCTATTTAAACAAATATTAAACGGACCGTTCGCTCAATTTTGTCCAACACAAAAATGACATTCATATACATTTTTCAATAAAAATCACAAAATCCAAAAAAAAAATTCAAAGTTCTCTCGGTTACTATTAGTTCACATAATTACGCAACAAACAGTGCAAAGAATTGATTGAAAAAAATAAATTAGGTTCATGAAATAGTCCGCGATACATTTTTCTGGCAGTCGTACGCTCAATTTAGTCCATGACTGTATATTATGTCTAACCATCTCGATGAGCAGACAAAAAATTTAATTTTTTTTGTAAATTGTGCGCATGTTTAAACATTATCGCCGTGGACAATTCAATTGTTGAAAGAAGTTATATGTTTGGGAGAGAGAGAGAGAGAGAGAGAGAGAGAGAGAGAGAGAGAGATGGATTGAGTGATTTTTTTCTGTTGATTTTCAGTTGGAATTGAGTCAACTTGTAGCGGAATTAGTTGGCCCGTCGATTCGCCTTCTACTTCTGCTCTTGGTCGGTCGGTCGGTCGGTCGGTCTCAGTCTGTATGGCAATTTTGCTGTGTCGATGGGAAAAAATGCAATTTAAATGGAAATCATTGCACGAATCAAGCACGAAATCCCGCAGATTCGTTCATTGTAAGTGCGCGCAGCGTTTGCTGCTGTTGCTGTTTTTTTTATTCACTTCTTCTCCTTGTTCAACTGAAAAGCAATTCAATTGAATTCGGCATTGTGTGTGTGTGTGTCTCATCTCTTTATGCCTAGCTGAACTTTGGAAAAAAATAAAGGGGGCTCTGCATTGTTGTTTGCATCAACAACAACAACAATAGCAGCAACAATAACTTACACAAACTATTTTATCGGTTTTGTTCACTTCCTCTCTTTCGCTCTGTGTGTTGACTCTCTTTTCATTTGCAAATAAAATAATATACCGAAAATTACATTTGTAGGTCAATCCGAGAGCAGCGCGCTCTTCGCACCGACACATGCTTTTCGGAATAAATCACAACAAACATTTAACATATACATCTAATTGGTACACATTTGAAATGACCGCACACGTTCGCGATCTACTCACGTTGCAAAAGTGTTACTGGCAAAAAAAAAACAAACAAAAAATTAAATCTCCCTTTACTAAACAAACGAACTAGAAATCAAATCATCAGTCCAATTAATGCACACTGTTTTGTTGTTGGTGCTGCTTTGTTTCTCTCTCTCTCTCTCTCTCTCTCTCGGCCATTTGAATGCAAATGTGTGATGAAAATTCAATCGACAATGTGCTGCAGTTCGAGAGAGCAATTTTTTATTTCTCTTTCTCTCTCTCTGCGCTTCGTGTAGTGTGAAATTAAGAATCGACCATAAATCAATCGACAGTTTATGTGTCGGTATTTTTTTCTTCTTCTCTCACCTAATCCCAATCGGTTCACCGAATGGCAGTATAAGAATTTCAGCCAATCTTCAATTCGGTATTATTTTCTTTTGCTTTTGCTTGAAATGACTATTTCTTCACGTACACTGACAACACGTTCAATGCTTGCACAAAATCAACCAAACACACCAAAAGAACCTTTGCACACACACACTCTCTCTCTCTCTCTCTTTCTCTCTTCGTCCGATTCGATAATAATTGTTTATTTATGATGACTTAAGTTAGATAAATGAACAACAGACAAAAAAAACTGAAACCTAAATGCTGCTTCTACACACACAAACACGGTTTTTGTTGTTGTTGTTGTTGCTGCTCATTAACAAATAGATAATGAACCAATATAGCTGAGTGTATCTTAGCCAAAATCGATTCATTAATCCGTAAGTTTTTAATTAAAACATAAGAAGAACACATGAATTTAACCCTGTCATATTTTATCGATTCGATGCCAAAAAAAAAATATCACGATTAGTTTGATTTCTTTTTCATTTCGAAAATGAAATCGGTTTGACGTTTTTTTTTAAACTCCTGTGTGCTACTGCTGGTAATTTATTGTTTTAATTTTGAAAACTTACTTTGCTGTGGTATAAAGAGCGATAGGTATATCTATATGTTATAAGTAGTGTACAACAAAAACGACTGTTTCAGCTTCTGTCAAACGCGCTCGTGTATTGCGTCGCACACAATTCACAATTCCGGTGTGTATGATCTCCTTTTTCACGCTTTGCACATACACGCTTCGCACCACGACATTCACATACACACTCACCTAACATTGTAGCTCTTGTACAATACGCACATATGCACACATACGCAACCATTTGCTGAACCATATGAGAGATTATTTGTTGCCTTAGCACACAAATTTCAACGCTTCAGCTGTGTGCTCTGTTGCTCGTGTGTCGATTTACATGGATTGAGCATTATAGCGTTTTTTCCTCTTCCTCTTCTTCTTCTTCATGAAAACATTATTTGCCGATCAATTACCATTTACTAGCCTTTTTTTCCTCTATCTCTCGCGCAAGGATTCTCACTATATTTTACTTAGGGAGGCTACAGAACAGCTATGCCCACCAGTAAAACCATTCATCATATTTCACATACGTTTTTTTTCTTTTCTTTTTGGTGTCGTGCGTTCGTTCGTCGTTTCATTCGGCGTTTCTAATCCAATCACTGCCTAAATCAAATAATCGCTTTATTTTTAAATCATTATTTCATCGCTTCTCTTCCTCAATATTTATTTCGTGATGTATATGTATATTCATCAACAACGGCATTGATGTGAGATGCAGAGCAAAAGAAACGGAGAAGGAAAAAAAACCTTTAGCGCGGTCGCGGTCGCGGTCTTCGTACCAATTCCTAATCCGTTCTCACTCAAGTAATCATCATTGGTCCAAGTACAATGACGACGACAACGAGCGAAAAAAAAAAGAAATCAAGAACAGTAATTCCACTCAATCAAGTCATAGGTGCCTCGTTGCCTTTACCGAACCGGCCAATAATGTTTTTTTTTCTTCGTTTTATTCGCTTTGTTGATGATGCTCCGTGACACACACACACACACACACACTCACATACACTTTCGAATTTTATTTATTTTTTCAGTTGCTTCTGACTTTATGATATTCTTTTTAATATTTTTTTTCGGTGACTGCTTTTATTACCATTATTCAAACGCCGAGCTTAAATACCGAACTTTATGACGGTATTAATATAATTTCGGGCTTATTGTAGGCTTATCACACCTTTTTCTACTCCTTTGTTTTTTTTCCGTGTTTGATCAAATTTAGATAGAGAATCCAAAATAAATGATTTAAACGATTTTATTTTTCAAACCAAATTTTCGATTTCTTTTCTCTTTCCATGTTCCTTTTCGACTGAAAAAGAAATTCCAGTTTTTGAATTTCATTTCGAAAAATGTGCAGATATGAAGCGAAAAAAAATCATGCTGATAGTTTGTTCTAGTTTTCGCGTCCGGTGATTGTGCGGCATACACACAATTTTGTAGGTTGGATAACATAAGCCTGATATCGAGATGAAAATGTTGGCTACTTTTTTCTTCTTTTTTTTTTCAAAAAAATAATCTACTTAATTATCACAAAACTCATTTTGAGTACAGCCATAAAATTTCACAAAATTACAGTGAATAATTTGACGATGCATTCATTTTCAGCGCTAAATTGACGACGCAGAAACTCAACGAAGCAATCGTCTTTGCCTCCCATTTTTCTTACTTAAAAAAATACCGAGAATTCGTTGCTTTTTTGCAAGAGAGTTTTTTTTATTATTTCCAAGAGAAGTCATTTTTTGCCACAAATAATAACGGCTTATTGAGGGCATCATTCAGATTACAGTAAGAAAATATGCTCTTGCCTTTAATTGCTGAAGTTGAAAAAAAGTCCAATCAAGCAGAGAAAAAAAATGCATTCCATTATTTCACGTTTATGCATTTCAAAATTGCAAAATTGTCATAAAAACCCGCAACGGCAGTTATAACTCGATTATTATTACTCAAACCAAATTCATTCAACAATAAAAATAAAACGAATGTGAGTTTTTTTTTCCAAAATGATGATAAAAGTGAAGGAAATGGCATGGTTGGAATTCACTGCTTTTCATTTCTCGGGAGAAAGACTGAAAATGTCCAACAACAGTAACAACATCTTCATCAAATCCAGGCACATTTTGATTTTTGTGCCAGTATCACGGTCAGCTTCGACATTTGACAAAAGATTTGACGTAATTGAACGTCATTTCAACGAAGAAGCATTTTCTGATTCCAAAATTTATCATTCACGAAATCGACGACGGAGATCCATGAAAATTCAGATATAATATTGAAGAAGCGACAAAGGAAAAACAAATTGGGCTCTGAAAAGTTGGTGCTCTGAATCGGGCAACAAGTGATTGGAGTGTATTGAAAGTGTTGCCCGTATACGTGTTGTGTGTTGCGTGAGTAAAAGTGGGACAGATTGAGCGTGCGGATGCGCACGCCATCTAAGTAGTCAAGTAAGGAATTTGTGACACAATGCTTGACATTTCGTTCATAAGTTCGTGTGTAGTAAATTCAGAATACCTTGTGTCAGCACATTTCCATGAATTACAATGTTCACGGAAACAGAAAATATCTAAAAAAAAATATTTGCAAAAAACAACGTTCTAACCGCTAAATTTTTTTTCGATTCAGTTTTATTTTCGCTTCACTTTTAAGATATCCTCTTCAAAAAAAATATTGATTGTGCATCGGTTTTTTTCGAGTGTTTTAGAAGAGCCACACACAGAGAGAGAAAACACAACAACGAAAGTGTTTGAGTCGTAATTGATTTGGTTCCGAGTGTGCAAAGGCCAAGTGGATTATGTTAACAAAGCAAATTTGGAATAATTTCAGTTCTTAGTTGTTTTTTTTTTATTATTTTTTTCTCTCTCTGTTCTTCTTCTTGATTTTGCGTTGAAAGTTACTTTTTTTTTTAAAATCGAAACATTTTTCTTTTGTTCATTTACTTTGCTCGGCACCGTATTTTTTTCTTGCGTTGTACTTGCCATCGAATGTTTAGAAGTAGTGTCATAGCCATATTTTTTTTCGTTGTTGTTATTGTTACTTCGTGCATGGAGGTCATTCAAGTAGTTTAGTTGCATTTTGCGAGTGAAAAAGATTGAGAGAGAGAGAGAAAGGGAAGAAAAAAATAAAGTGTGTACACGCGTACCCAAAGGAACCACAGAGCTTATTTATAACATTGGCGTGATCGACACGTTTGTTGCATGCAATCATAATGCGTATCATGTGCAGACAAATCATATGAAGCGACACAGTGAATCGACGAAATTATGGGCATTTCATGTGATTTTGAAGCTGGAAGTATGGAAAGTGAGATCAAACCTACATGCAACAAGGAATTTATTAAGCTAAATGGCCAACATGAATTGGATGCAACGCCCGCCAAAACGGCCATCACCATTACAACCGCCAGCTACAACAATTCAACTGAACCAGACGTTACTATTATCGATGATGTGAAATCAACGGACGATGTCATTCCCCTATCACCAGTTCCACCGCCGGAGGTTTGTTCACAATGCCAATTTTCGAATTGGACTTATTGAACATTTTCTTTTATTGGAGAGACAATTTTCTTAATGCGCGTGACAATTAATCCACACCATGTGGATTATTTTTATGACATATCACGTCATCATCAATATGAAAACAAACTTATGACCTATACATGTGAAAACACTATCAAACGTGTTCAAACATGTTATGTTTATGTTCAAACATCCATTAACATAACCAAAAATACATCGAACACCTAAAAACATCACCTTTATGCCCCGTCTAGACCGAAACCATCGTGATTGTTGATGATGCCGAACCCGAAGAAGGTGAAATCATCACCTCCGACAATGATTTTGAATACGAAGCCATATCATCGGACGAAGAATTTACACTGCGTCAACAGATCGAAGCTCTTGAAGCGAAAAATCGAGAATTGGAAAAAATTGCATCGATCTCGGCTATTGGCTATGGTGAGTTTTTACGATCAATAAAAAAAATTACTGTCATTTATATAAACATTTATGTTAATTCAATTATATAAATTCATGGAAAACGCAATCCATTTCACAAGTGAATGAAATTTCATTTCAAAAACAACACAGTGACACAAAATGATTTGATTGCTTTCACCCAAACATTTGGTTCGATGATTTAAAGGCACAGTTTTATCGCAAGGGAGAGAGAGAGAGAGAGAGAGAGAAACCGTGTCATTGATTTTAATCAAAATATTTGAATTTTCTACCTGAATTCCAGTTATTCGAATTGAGAGTTAAATTGAATTCAAGTTTTCGTTTTAGAACTCAGGTCTTTTAATTTTAAAGTCGATTTTTTTTTGGATTAACCACAAATATTTGATAAATCATTGATTTCTTGTCTCAAGTTTTATGTTTCCAGTTTTATGATCCGATTAATTTACGATTTCTCCATTTTTGATGTTTGGTCAAAAGTTCTACAACGCATTTTCTTCATTCGAATCAGATTTTTTTTTATCGAATTTCATCATTTCAATCGAAATTAATAATGTGTCTCATAAATTGTCTTCATTCCAATTAAGGTTTCTTACTTCTTTCTAAAAAAAAACATGAAGAAAACAACATATTATTTTTCCAAATCTTTTTTTTAAACCCAAAATATTTTTAAAATTCAACCATGAAAAAAGCTAAAATTCATTCAATTTTTCAAATATTTTCCTCTTCAAATTCTCTTTTCATTCTCGAAAAATCATCAGGATATCGTCGTTCGCCGAATTACTTTAAATCATTATCAACAGCGACAGCAACAATCAATCGTTCAACAACAAATCATACAAAATCGAACCCACCGTTGTCTTCCATCACAAACTATAAATCAGTGTCATTGTCACACGTGGAAAACATATCATCGGATGAGGCGCAGCTCATTGACAGCGATGCTGAAATTCCGAGTCTATTTGACAATAACAAATATGGCCGAGCATCGCATCGTGCATCGAAAAAGGAGAAACGTCAAAGTCGCCGCAAAACGCGAATGATCGAAAATGAGAAAGAGCGCTGTTTAGCGCATGGTAAGCGTCGTTGCACCGATGTTGAGTGCTATCCAATTGAAGTAACAATTACACGTAAGAAACGTGCTCGTCACAAATACGATGATCGCAAAGTGGTCCGTGCAAAATACTCAAGCGATTCAGAGGATGAACTGTTGCGAAATCGTGAAGAATTAAAAATGGCATTGAACATAATCGAACCATCGAATCGAACGGTGAACTCGAGCACATTGTCGCACAAATTGTCAGTGATTCAAAGTCAACAAACGCTTGATAAACCGGGTACAAAACATCGAAAGCGAAAAACATCGAGGAGTCCGGAACGACGAAGGCGCACCCGATCCGGTGAGAATAGCTCGAAACGTTCGAAGAATGAACGTGATCGAAGTGATTCAAGGTCGAAAATTGCATCGCCAATCATAGTGCATGACAATAATGACAATGATATTCAGGATGATGTAATCGATGAGGCCATCTCGCTGGAAGAGCAGGAATTGCGTTTGATCGCACTTAAATCGGCCGTTTTGAAAAAGCACGAGGCACGCAAAAGGAAACAGCTCGCAAATCAAATTGTCGAGCAGATTGTACGACCGTATTCGCCAACGGATAGTGTGGTGTTGGTGGCCGATGAAACGGGTGACCGAAGCAATGATTGCATCGATTCAGACAATAATAATATGGATATCAGCCCGATCAGTTCGCCGGGCAATCAATATCAACCGATGGACATGGATTTGGCCAGTAGCAATGAAAATTCAAAGAGTCCCATTTTCAGCTATGACAAACCACAAACTTTCCCCTATGAACCGTTCATTGATTGGGGCACTGTTCACATTCCGGTTGCCATCAATCCAGGCTATGTTGATATTGATCAGGCGGCTGCTGCTGCGGCCGCTGTTGCCATGAGCCAACCGTTTGCAATGCAACCGTCATTCTCCATGATCTATGACACAATGCAAAAAGAGCCGATGGCCACTGAAAATTCCATGCCAACACTGCCGTCGATTCAATCGGATGCTAAAGAGAACAACAGTACCCATATTGACAACGAAGACGATCTACGCGCTCAGTTGATCGAACAAATGCGCAGCACCAACACGTCCAGCTCGAACGGAAGTGCCACGGAATCAACGAAAACTGAAATTGTGCCAAAAGGCAATGGCCATATCGATTCGTTCGATTCGCTGGAAGAGGACTGTCTACGGAGTTTGTTATTGTCATCAAAAGGGAAAAAATCGACCGTTACAAAAGATCCAACGAATGATTTGCAAACGCCGGTGTCCAAACCCGAGCCACCATCCCTCGATCAATCCAAATGTGATGATATGCCAAAATTAGCACTAAATCTTCGCGAAGCACTCAAACGACTTAAAAACAATCAACAGAATAAATTGACGGCAGCAGCATCAGCGGCGACAGCGTCGTCGTCGTCGTCGTCATCATCATCGGCACCAACAACCGAAACCATAAAACCATCCGATAAATGTGTTCAAGTTGAGTCAAAACAAAACGATTCGTTGCAAGACTGTGATCAAAAGGAAATTCAAAAGACTGTTGTAAATAATCGACTGGATAAGAATGAAAATGAGCTGTTCAACGCGGAACAAACGGCGACAGCGACGACGGTTGTGCCATTGAAAGTAGCTGAGGAAAAGCCTACTGTGATACCGCATACGGTTGAAAAGGTGTTGAAGGTGACAGCCGCGAAGGCAACCGTGGTAAATTTGAAGACGGTAAATGAAAATGTTGTGGTAAAACCACCAGTTAGAGCATCTCCTGTTCAGGCTGTTGCCACCACTCAAGGGGCAAAAGCAACGACAGTTGCCAAACCAAAGCCTAAAGTAGTAGCTAAACCAAAAGCCGTTGAAAAACCAAAGGTCGCAGAGAAACTGAAAGTCGCAGAAAAACCAAAAGTCGTGGAAAGATCTCAAAGCATAACACCACCGGTGACCAAAGCAACAACAACGAACTTGAGTAAAATGGATGCGATTCGAAAATCCACAGGCTCACCGGTTATCACCACATGGACGGCAAAACCGGTGAAAAAACTCATTATTTCATTAAACGAGGACTCATCTACCGATAATGATGACATGGACTGTGATGAAAGTGCGACGAATAAGAGGACAGATGCGGACTCGGGTTCACAATCGAACGATTCAAATAACACATTCCAATTTCGGCTTGATCAATTTTTGCAAACGGTTCGAGCCAACACCGATGCCATACTGGAATCAAAGCAAGTTGTAACACCGGCAACGGCGAAGGCTGCACAAAAAACAGCCGACAAGAGTACAAATAATGCTGCGTCAAAGGTTCAGGTAAGGATAATAGCGATTTTTCACCGACCAAAATTTGCTTCAAAAGAAGAAAAAATCAGAGATTAATTCCAATTTCCATCAAAATCTTTTTTCATCTTCAGATTACATCGAAAGCGGAGTCGTCAAAGGCGGTTGCTCACTTACCAATGTCTTCTCAATTAGAATATCATCGTCTGTTAAATCGAATGAAGTTGCTGGAGAAGCAAAAGGAGCAAAAGTCTCGCGTGAAAAATCAAGCGACAGTTGCCGCAAAGCCATTACCAGCTAAGCCTGAAACCAATTTCCCGAATTTAACTGTAGTTGTACAAAATGAGAATCGTTTCATTCAAACCAACAAATCAACGGAAGTAGAAGTTGATAAAAATGTGACTGAAGTGATCAAAGCACCTCTTGTGACCAAAGTGCCATCGAATAAAATCGTCGGAACAAACACATCAAATACATCGTTAGCGAAAAAGGTTTTGGTGAAGAATGCAATGGCTCAGGCAACGGATGCTGTAAAAGTAGCAGCAGTAAAAGCGGCGGTTGCTACACCAGTGCAAGTTTCAAGCGAACAGCCATTGAACAGTGTTGCCGATAGCAATGCCATAACGGAATCGAAACCAGCATCCATGACACTAGCCATGTTTGCCAAAAAGACACCAAAAATCAAAGCATCCCTTCTGGCCAACTACATTAAACGATACAAAAATCATGGGTTCGTAATAATGTCTTTCTTGCAGGCAATGGCAGGGAGAAGGTACTAATTGCTTAATTTGCATCTAGGGAACAATACTTGAATGGCCTCACTAAATTACATCGATTGACGTGCCGAACGAATTTGGAGACTCAAAAACAACAAAAATTGGAACAAGTGTTGGACGATTTACGGCGTCAAACGAAAGCAATCGAAGAACAACTGACTCAACAGAAATCAGTGACACAGAGCTTATATCCCGTCATGGCAGCCACGGAGAAAACCATCACTTCGGATCGTACGATGCTATTGAGACTGGAAAATTGCTGCAATCGACTGGGTACTATTGTCAATGGACCGAATTACAAGTGAGTGACACCAGGAAGGAACGAATTTGTGAGAGTGATGATTCATCATTAATGAATATGAATATGTTTAGATTAGTTTATAGCTCCATTTGGCTTTGATATTGCAATTTGAGACAAGGCCGCGTTTTTTATTCCAATCATATTGCTTACTAGATTTTAGGACGAGTTCCAAAAATTAGAAGGATTTTGATGAAAATGAGTTTTAAAATAAGAAGAAAATACTAATCAATTGTGTTTTGTGGAACAGAGTACAATGTGATAAAGATGTCGAAATCAAGGAGAAATTGAAACAAATCATAATCGAGAAGAGCCGATTGAAGCAGTTAGGACAGAAAGTACCTGCGAAAGATCCGGTTAAAATTTCACCGTTGACAAAGAAAGAAGTGACAAGCAAAGTAATTCCAATCATTCCAAAGCCAATACCAAGCAATGCAGTTGAACAGAGGATGGAAAGTGTAAAGACATTGAAAAAAGAAGACAAAGTGATCAAAACACCAATCAATTCTGTCGATAAACATCCAAAAGTAGCGAAAACTGAATTGAAGCTAAACGAAAGTAAAACGGAGTCATCTCAAGAGAAACCCGTTCAAATGGAGGTTGATGATGCTGTGGTGAGTAGACTTCTTTTTGGAATCAATCCAAAGTTTAACTTTTATCCAAATTTCTGAATTCAGAAACTTTATGGATAATGAGAGTTTTTTTTGTTTTTTCTTTCTATGCAATTTTTTCCATTTCCTCCCAAAATTCTCATTGAAATAGCAAATGTATCCAGATCAATTTGAACTTTTTTTCAATATTTTCTCAAATCACAGAAATCCTCAAGATTTTCCCCTAAAAATGAATTTTCTCCCTATTAAAACATCACTCTTTCTCTCTAGGATCCAAATCCATCCAAAGACAAAACTGAACGTGAAACTGAAAATAAGCCAGAGCAAGTAAAATTAATGGCAAAACCATCAAAGGTGGAAATGCCAAAAACGCCTGAGCCGATACGAACTGAAGTTGAAAACCAAGAAAATGAAAATGGCGTAAATGAAACCAAACAAACACAGCCAACCAATGACATAGCCAAAACCAATGAAATTGAACAAGCCGAAAAAGTCGACGAACTAACAACGTTGTCACCAGATAATCTTACAGTTACTTACCACCCTTATTTTTCTTTCCATATTGTGTTTTAGTTGCAAAATATTTAATTCCAGCCAGAATTGTTCTAGTTGCCCCTTAACGAAAACGATAGGAAATTTCTCAACTTTTCTTTGGTGTTTTTCTTCTTGCTTGATATCACCCAGGCACCGATGGAAACGATGCAAATGACGGATAATGAGGCAATTTGTGGAAAATACGATTCACCATTAGAGCACATGCAAGGCTCAGCGGCTGATTCGAAACCAGAAGTCAGGTGTGTTTTCATGCTTGCAAAAGTGCTAATCATCCAAAATCTGTTTGATCTGAAATTGTGTTTGTGATTTAGCGTTGCGGATCGGAATGCAATCGTTTGTCCGTACGATTTGATGGGACGGTGTGAGGACAAGCAATGCAAATACAAGCATTTGTCAGTGTGATTGTTGTGTTGGACCAGATACTCAGGTTTCTATTCTCTCAATTTGATGATATCTCTCTTTCTCTCAATGAGCTTGTATTTATTGCGTTGTTTAAGTCATGCAAAGAGCATTTGTTGTGTGCTTCTTCTTTTTTTAAAGAATCAATCATTTCATCGGATTTTTTTTTTTATTAAATTCAAAACGAATATGATCGTCAAAGAAAATCGTCCACAATTCCAGACACACACATACATTAAATGGAGCACATCATTCTCTATCTTCGCAGATTATTAGGAGCAGAAACTACAGGAAAAAAAATAAAACCAAAAAAAAACGAATTGATATACAGACTCTTTTTTCACAAGATTAACGGATATTCGAAATGCAAACAAACCCATCGAACAAGTGGCCGCGCAATGCAGAGGATTTATGAAGTGACACACGAGTACTATTCATTTGGTACAGGTGTGTGTGTGTGTTGATCAATCAACAGATACAGAGAGACAGAGAGATAGAACAAACCAGAGTAACTTTTTTTCAAGGTTATAGCTCCCTAGTTGAGCGACCGCGATGCATACACTTGTGCATCGCTCACCGGTAGAGCGCTTGCATATTCAGAAAAATTCAAAAATCAAACGGGTAAGTGACCGTAACGTATTTATATTCACAGTTTCCACACAGACAAACAAACACACAACAATTATTTAACCCACTTTGGAACCATCAACATTATTTAAAAACAAGTACAAATCTAAAACTAAAAAAAAAAACATAAATGAAATTTGTTAAAAGTGGTTTATGCATGGGATATGGGAATCACGATAACTCCAGAACACTGGAAATACAGTGTTCACAACGACACCAGTCATTCTCAACCAAAAAAAAAATGTTTAACTCATCATCAAATCAATTGATTTTAAAATAAAACTGTCGAGTTTTAAAAATCTTAATAATAGACACTAGTGTATACTCGAAAGCGATTCAGTTCTCGGTCATCATTTGCAGTGCGATACAACAACCAAATAAAAAATTCTTTACTAAACGAAAAAAAAAAAACCATTTGGAACTCGGCCATTCGATATATAATTTTATAAAGAAAGGGGAAAAAAACACACATCGACACATCGCCGTCATGCAATGTTTTGTTTTGTTAATTTTTTTTTCTTCTTCTTCTTTAGTTTTTGGAACTTTTTCTTTTCTTTTTGGAAATTTACGAATTGAAACAAAAAAAAATTTGTTGAATTTTTTTTCTACTCACAATTAGTTCAGATGAGAAAGAAAAAAAAAAGAAGAGCATACCGAATAAGAATGTAAACAAACCTTTTTTATAAAGAAAAACAAGAGATATTTTGAAATAAAAGATTTTATTCGAAATTAAAATTGAACCCGTGTTTTTATTTCGATGTTTTTTTTTCTCTTTTGATGGAATTTTGGGCGTTCTTTTTCTCTAGCTCCGGCGTTTTTGTAGCTCTGGCGCTTTTTTTAGCTCTGATGATGAATGCTTTTAATCTACAAAATCAAAAGGTTTGCAAAAAGAAGGCAGAAAAGGTTTGTAACAAATGGATGATCTATGGAATTTTGAACAGATACAAAAAAAAACGGTTGATTTGTTGCCACAATAGAGTATTTATTCAGCACAACACTTTGACAGAGCATGGAATTATTATAATTGTTCACAAAAATTCATGGGTCCATCTGGCTGTTGGTTCGATGATGGCAAACACTGAAATTTGACAACAAAAAATCGATTTTTAGTTTTTTCAATTTCTTAATTTGATTTTCGGTTCTAACGTAAAACGTTGGATTTTCTAATCCATTGGAAAATAATGAAGCATTTGAAAAGGCTTTTGGATGCAAAAAGTCTCGACGATATGTATCTCAATGCGACATATTACACTTTTTCGAAAAATTATCCATATTTCAAACGCTTTTTTCGCAAAATTACTTCAACAATCGTTTTTTCTTCAATTACTTACAATTCGATGGTTGAAAAACATACAGCTCCTTCACATTTAGTTCTTCTTCTTAGCGCTGCAGTCGCACAAATCCCATGGAATAGAATTCCAATGGCGGCAATTCTTGCAATGATGCACATCTCCGGCTCTGTTGACATTGAATAAGACGAATTCTTTGGCGCATTCCTTGTTGCGACAAACAAAATGCAAATGACCCTTCTTCGGAGAATTATTCGGTGATTTCTTCATATTTTCCTTCTTATCTGACTTGTCCGACATGTTTCGTGGTTGAGAACTGATTTTTCGAGTCACAATTTCGATCAAATACTTGAATTTTTAGAAAATGACGATAATTTTAACTTTTGAGAAAGATATCATATGGTTTCACTGTGGAATGACTCGATCCAATTGAGCTGAATTTTAATCGGAATATCGAATTTATGGCCTTATCCATAGTAGAGAATCACCCATTCTCGGTTCATTGAAAAAAAAAACAGAAAATATTTATAAACGTACCCAAACATTAATACGTGCAGCTACAATGTCTCTGCAATGTAACGTGTTTATATTTTTCATCGATGGTGCGGATTATCATCAATTCGATTCAACATAATCGATCAATTCATTTCATGAATCTGCCGGCCAACAAGATCGATGCGTCATTTTATTATTGATTTTTAAATGCTGTATTGAAAAATTCCAATTCTGATTAATCAAATGTTTAATGGAATCAGCAAAATACCCAGTTGTTGATAGTTAAACGATTCCATTTGAATGATGATTACTATCCATTTACACAAATTGTATACGCCGAAAGCCGCGACTCATCTGCATGAGTAATCAAAAGCTGGACATATTTAAAGTTGAACGGTTCGAAAAACTCTTTTGGAAATATTGATACGACTTCAATCATGCTAAGAATGCCTCGTCCTAAATGGAAAATAACGAACGGCGAGCTCATCACTTTTTATTTAAACAATATGGTAAGATATTATTCAATTAATATTTTCATACAAAAGATGACATGAACCCGTGAGCATAAAAACGACTTATTAAACAATCGCCGAACAAAACGATACAAGAAAAAACTACCAAACACTACACATTACCGCTGTGGTACGTTTTGTTCGGTAGTTTTTTCTTGTATCGTTTTGTTCAGTGATTGTTTAATAAGTCGTTTTTATGCTCACGGGTTCACATGTCGTTCATATTTTTCTTTGGATATCGGCAATCTGTGGATGTCATGAAATCATACTATCAAGGAATTGATTGAAACATAGTCCTAAAAAAACAACTGAAAAAAATACTCGAATATATCTCAATACCGCCAAAAGCTGAACAAAGTGTGACCAAATGCAACCAAAAACCGGAATAAATAATCTTGTCCACGTGATTTTTTTCTGATTTTCTTTTTTTTTATTGGCATTATCAAATTATCTTCAATATAATTCGTTTGTGAAATGAATCGTATTTAAATTGTTTTTTTTTTGTATTTTAATTTATGGTAGTAAATGTATTTCCAAACAATCGTTCATTGAATCCCTTCCGGTGCTGCTCACGGTGTTTAGTTGTTTTTCTGTTGTTTGTGCAGTAAATTGGCTTGTGTGTCGGCCACTTGTTTCATACCCTCTTGAACGACATGCAAATTGGTTTTCCATGCGCGCAACAGATCGTGTAATTGCATCCATTGTGGTTTGCCGAATGTTCGATGCATCGTGCTGGAAATGTGTACTTTGCGTGCCTTTTGATCCATACGAGCGCGCACCAATTTCGTCTTTAATACTTCAATAATAAATGGTTCAACATCGTCTTCGCCGATTTGCAATTCCTTTTGCAATTGTTCGAATGTCAATTCCGGATTACTTTCGGCCAATTGCATGAACGACAATAGGCGCATTTTCTTCATGTTTTGTTCATGGTTGAGCCCTTGTGAGGTCACAAATTCCTTGTGATTTTGATAGAATTGAATATAGACGGCTAAATTTTCCGATACAAACACCGACAACAGATCATGAATGAGTTCACCCTCAAGGAAACGAACCGGTTTCAGTGACAACAATGGATCCAACAAGAATGTATTCGGATCGGCCAATGCGGTGACAATACATTTCATTGCATCTTCACGGGCAACCGATGCATTTTCGGCTGTGTAAGTGCCCAACAATTCGATCATCACTTTAGCAGCCAATTCACTGTTTGTATCCTTTAGCACATCGTGCAACAGACGATACAGTTTTTGCATTTGTTCATTGGATGGTGGACATTGCACGAATTGCGACTTCAATTGGTCGACACCGGTGAACACTTCCCGCACTTGATCGCATTGCTTTGCCACTTGCACCAAGTGATAGTACACATGGTAACGAAGAGGTGATGTTGGTTCCAAGTGATTGAACAAACGCCACAATCTAATGGGGAATAATAGAAAGAATTGAGTCCAAGAAAAAATCTTTGGGTGAGATTTGGTAAAGGGGAAAAGGTTGAAGATATCAACATTTTCTTTTCTTTCTTCGTCTTGAGAAGATGCGTTGGAAACAAATGCAGCAAGAATACTTACGATTGAAGGCACACTTTGATCAATGGAAGGTCGGTGGCCTTTGTTAACTTCTCACAGAATGCCAACACAATGTTTTCGCCACGCTCCAATGGGATCTAAATTGAAAAGTTGGCATTAGCATTGATGATTAGTATTCAATTGTTAAATATTGTTTGCTTAACAATCTAGCTTGATTCTGGTTCAATTTTAAATTAAAACTATAAAATCATGTGAAAATTGGATTTAGCCATTCAATTGAGCTAAAAATGGAGCTGCAATTCGATTCCAAGTCAAGAATTAATCTAACATTTGAACCTAAATTAAGCACCAAACTGCAATTCTGTTGCAAATCAATACACAAATAGAGTAAATGGAAATCTTCTGAATGAACCACCTTTTGTGTACGAAAATCGAAGGTTTTGCTCCAAAAACCGGTCAATCGACTCGAGAAAAAACGATTGAAAACACCCAAACTTCCGATTCAACACAAACGATTTGCAAGTATGACCACATGAAACCAACTCACCGAAACCATAATTGAAACGATGCTGTTCAATATGCCATCGATATCGGCTGCGTCGCCGTCTTTGAAGCAAACATCACAAACGCCGATGATTTTGTGTAAATCATCTTCGATGCCTTTGTTGGATTTTTCTTCGGAGATTTCAGCACCTTGGGCTTTGAAGAATCGTCGCAATTCTTGTGCCTGCCAACAAATACAAAATGCAAATCAATAAATTTCATTCACAAATTGAGGTTATACACGGTGAGCTTTGGGGCAGCAACTCATATCATACCTGATCTTCCAATGTAAGATCTATGAATACGGCTGGACCATGCATGTCGCTGGATTTTGATAACAGTTTCCTGGTTGGATTTCACACAAATGAATCGTTCACTCACTCGGTTAATTTGCGGTATTTGTGTTCAGCGTGTGCAACTTCTACCGAAATGTAACACACCAAAAACACGTAGCAGTCTCGCTCTAAAAATGCGGTGAGTTGATTTGTCGTCAGAACTGTCATTCGGTCACATACACGCACACACAAACAAACGCTTCGCCAACGTGTGCTGTTGTTAGCAATCCGAATTTCGTGTTGACTTTCACTTGAGCTATTCGCGTCTAGAAATAATGATTAAAATCGAATAAAATTTTGGATCAAAAAGAAAAATGTGCGAATTTTCAATTTCAACACAAAATCTCATGTGGATTCGGGGAAAAATCCATTCAATCTGCACAATCATTCCATATACTCACGCGTGAATCGGCTCTTCTCCACAACTGTCGCCCTCTGTTAGATTCATTCCGCAAAGTCAACATTCCAAAGTTGACATGAAAGCCGCGTGTGAATCATTCGCAATTCCAGTAAGAGATTTGAATGGGCTGATGCAAAGTGACAGCCGACTTGCAACTACTGTACGGTGTTCAGTTGTTTTTACTTTCGTGCTATCCACGGACAAACAGTTGCTTTCATTTTGTTGGTTAAACGGAATTTCATCAGACGGCCAGATAAATTACAATGTGCGTGTGATTTGATCAGTTATTTATTTTGTGGGCAGAATTTTTGTACGAGTTTTAATTAGATATTAATTTGAACTGGATTTGTTTATTTTAGAGTGATGTCGAAACGGAATCAACCAACGTGGCAAGCGCCTACACCATCGAAAAATGATCCAAAATTGCGGCTATTCAACAGTTTGACCCGGCAAAAGGAGCTGTTTACACCAGCCGATGGTAATAATATTACGTGGTACAGCTGCGGTCCTACGGTTTATGATGCATCACACATGGGCCATGCTAGGTAATTCATCGCACAACATTCATGTGACGTTCAATAAGGTATAATGATTTCGATTCTTTTTGCCCACAGGTCATACATTTCATTCGACATTCTTCGACGTGTTTTGTCCAATTACTTCGGATACAATGTGCTTTATGTCATGAACATCACCGATATCGATGACAAAATCATCAAACGGGCCCGTCAAAACTATCTATACGAACAGTATGTTGCGTCGTCGGCTAGCCTTGAACAAATTCTCAATGATCATAAGCATGTACTGGACCAGCTGAACGATGTTATCGCCAAAAATACTGACCCGGATAAGCAAACTCTGCTCGCTCGTACACTCAATCAGTAAGTAACACACGTGAACAATTTGAAAGTGAATGACTTATTTTTCGAAAATTCAGCTGTTGTGCGGTTTTTTTGTTTACATTAGCTTTGTTTGCACACGTTCCATTGAATGTTCTTGTGTTTTGGTGATTCATTTTCGCTTTTTTTTTCAATTGAAATCGGCCATTTGCTTTTGAGTCGGTTTTTTCATTGCATTTGATTTTTTTTCTTCGCTGAAAACACTTTTTTGCACATTTTTTTAAGCGGTAATTTTTTTCCTTTTCACATTTCTTCTTCGTGCCATATTTTTTCATTTGTGACAGTTTTCATTCAAAAAAGCAATTGTTTTGAATTTTAACAGACAAAATATACAATTTAAAAAAATGCCATTCATTGTAATTAAAATGAACAAAAGACCTTCGCTGTCAAAAAAAATTCGATAACACTAGCAAAATTGTATATTTGCAGAATAACCGAAGCCAACATAGCACTAACAGCTGCCGTGAAATCGGGCGATGCAAAGGCGATCGAAACAGCCCGTGCAAATTTCCTGCAACAATCCAAAGATGCTCTCTCCGATTGGTTGGACAAGAAATACGGCTCGACAATCACCGAAAATTCCATTTTTGAAGCGTTGCCCAGATTCTGGGAAAATGAATTTCATAAAGACATGAATGCGTTGAATGTGAGTTAAAATTTCATCATTTTTGTGTATTACACACTTCTTTGTGGTTTTTGTGCCAGCTCCATACTTCGAGTCACTTTTATTTATTTGAACAAATTTTCAAAACTAAATGATTTTCGTTTCCAATTTCCAGATTCTTCCACCTGATGTGTTGACGCGTGTGAGTGAATATGTTCCACAGATTGTGACCTTCATCGAAAAAATCATTTCCAATGGATTGGCATATGAATCGAATGGTTCGGTGTACTTTGATGTGGCTAAATTCGATGCTGCCGAACATCATCACTATGCAAAGTTGGTGCCAGAAGCATATGGAGATACGAAATCTCTGCAAGAAGGCGAAGGTGATTTGTGCATCTCAGAAGATCGCTTAAGTGAAAAACGATCACCAAATGACTTTGCTCTGTGGAAGACAAGTAAACCGGGTGAACCTTTTTGGCCAAGCCCATGGGGTAACGGAAGACCTGGATGGCACATCGAGTGCTCTGTAATGGCATCGGACATTTGCGGTCAAACCTTAGATATTCACACTGGTGGCGTTGATTTGAAATTCCCACATCACGACAATGAATTGGCACAAAGTGAGGTAAGGCATTTGTTTTGATGTTAACTGTTAATTTAAGATTTACTCTCAAATCTAGTATAACTGAGTATAACACGTTCTAAATTCGCTAATGAACGAGGAAGAAAGGGATGGATAGCCCAATTTCAAATTGATTTATCCAATTTTCAATTGATTTGTGCAATTTTGAAACAGAATTTTGATTTTCTCCATTCGAGAAATTTTCTAATCAAAGTTCCTCGTTTCAGGCATATTTCGACAGCGCAAGTTGGGTGAATTACTTCTTGCACACTGGCCACTTGACGATAGCCGGATGCAAAATGTCTAAGTCATTGAAGAATTTCATCACCATTCAACAGGCATTGCAAAAGAACTCGGCTTGCGATCTTCGTTTGGTGTTCTTGTTACACTCGTGGAAGGATACTCTCGATTACTCAGATAATACAATGGAAATGGCGACGCAGTACAAGAAATTCTTGAATGTATGTATTTGGCATTAAAAATTAGGCAGTATTTTGAATGAAAAAAGAGGTTTTTAGTTCGAGTAAATCGTATCGCAGAATTATCTACTTCAATTTTGATGGAAAATCAATATTTATTTTAATTTTTGTATTTTTATTCCAGGAATTCTTCTTGAATGTCAAAGACTTGTTGCGTCGGTCGCAAAATGACGACAAGCCAGAAAAATTGTTCCAAATATGGACCAAATCGTCGAATGATTTGCAGCAAAAGTTTAGCGAAGCAAAGCATTCCATCCATTTGGCATTGTGCGATAACATCGATACGCGCGCCGTTTTGGATATTATCCGCGATTTGGTCGGCCTTTGCAACGTTTACATTCGCGACAACAACACAGAGAGCACATTGAATGTGCTATTGCTTAAACGAATCGCTGCCTACATCACTGACATCCTTCACATATTCGGGGTTATCAATGGTCCACGCGGTGGCATCGGTTTCCCAGTCGATTCAGGCAATTCAGGAGATGTGAGTGTGTTTTTTGTTGGTTTTGATCTTCCTCGATTTCATTTCGATAGCGATTAAATAGGCAAAATTCATTTTTACTGTACACGAGTGAAGAGAGATGAAGACAATGAATTTATGAGCCATTCCTTCTAAGATTTCAGTTTTAGTGAATGAAAAGAAAAATTTTGTATTTTGAACTCGAAGCTAATTAATACTTTCTCTTTTTTTTCCAGGCCGAAGAAACAGTCTTACCTTATCTGGAAGCTTTGGCGGAATTCCGTAATTCGGTGCGTGAAGTGGCTCGTACTCAAAAGTGCACTGAAATCCTGAACATCTGTGATGCTCTGCGCGATGATGTGCTACCCAATTTGGGTGTTCGATTGGAAGATCGTGAAGGTGCTGCTGCGTCAATCAAACTGGTCGATCGGGAAACGTTGCTGAAAGAACGTGATGCTAAGAAGCAAGCCGAAGCCCAGAAGCAAGCACTGAAAGAGAAGAAACGTCAAGAGGCTGCTGCAGCTGCGGCTGCACTTGAAGCCCAACGCAAGATCAACCCAAAGGAAATGTTCTTGAACGAAATCGACAAGTATTCAGCATTCGATGAACGCGTAAGTTTTGCAATCGCACAGTTTTTTCAAAAATAGAAGTGATTAATTTATTTGATTCTTTCTACAGGGAATACCAACATTGGATGCAAAAGGCGAGAAGCTCAGCAAAGGTCTCACCAAGAAGCTAGAAAAATTGCAAAATACACAAGAAAAGAAGTATAACGAATATCTTGCATCTCTCAACAACGGCTCATGAATGTCTAACAACAAATGGAAACGTCAGCTTTTTAAAACACTTTGTTAAGGAAATTGGTTTAAAAATGCATTTTTATTCACAGAATGATTAAATTGAACATTGGAAAAAAATGTGGAAATTATTTGTTTTATTTCGAAATGAATGTTATTTACAAAGTTTGTAAGACTATTTTCTACCACTGATTATTTTGAGTTTCAGTTAACAAATTTTCGTTTTCAATTAAAATTTTCGGAATAAATTCATTGACTTTTTTTTCAATATAGTAATTATGCTGATGGATCGGAGTGTTGATCGACTACGATAAGTCGGACAAAAATTTTGAAACTTCCTTAACGCTTAGTCATTTGTCGTTTGATCGTAGATGTCCTTCCGGATCGAATGGCTCCTCAAACCAACTGCCAAACGTTAACTGCAATTTAATGTGTTCAGGGCGATTTTTAATTATTGCGAGCATCTCGTCATACGTGTCTATGTTGAATTTGAATTGACGTGTGCTGATTTCCAACCACGATAATCGATCGGCTTCACGAAGCATTTCAACGATTCCTTGTTGTGTGACATTTACTGAATTCCAACCGGTGACAATCAGTTCGGTGAGCAAGCCTTTCGCCATGACCAGTAAATGTGCATTATTCACGTTTCTCATTACGAAAAGTTTCAATACCTTGACCGATTCCAACTTCGAAATAGCTGTGGCTACGCTTACACCTTTATCAAATCGACCATCTTCGAGTGACAAATGCTCAATGGCAATGTTATTTGCTGCAAGTCCTTCAACGAGGTACTGTACAGAATATCCATGGCAGTTTATTTTTAACACTTTTAACTTGTTCAGCGCAAATAAATACGAGCAATTACGTTGGAAAGTTTCATCAAGATTACTATAACTTCGTTCATCCAATTCAAGCTCTTGCAAGTCTTTAAATTTACCAATTGCTTGATGGACACACGACAGTATGAATAGGTACTGATGGGACTCGACAAATAGCTCGCTACTATAAATCGTTAAAACTTTTAAGGCTTTGGCTCTGTTGATGAATTTTATCAGTTTTTCGTAGACTTGAGCAAGATATAGTTCAGTACATGAGTCACTATGGTACAGTTTCAATACTTTCAAGTTGTCGTTGAACGAGCTGAAGTCGCAGTCTTTGATACTGGTGTTTTCAAGTTTCATCATTTCCAATGATCCCAATAATTCCTTCAACTCTGTCATCAAACGGGCGTTATGGTGAATTCACTGAGTGAGAGCTCGGTCAATGTATTCGGACGACAGTACTTTGCAATCAACGACAACAATTTACTTGAAGCAAATTCCTCTCCGTTCGAAAACAAATCGCGTGCAATGTTTAATGATAAAGCTTGGTCGCCAAAATTACGAAGCAAACACAATGCCAACTTCGGGTTGCCTCCAGCCAATGAAACCAAGTCAAGTCGACGATGATGTTTCAAATGGAAAAGGTACTGCGCCAATGCTTGAGTACGCTTGCAGGTTACAGCGATATCGCACAGTTCGATCACATTCATATTTCCGATGATAATAATCAGGACAAACAAGAATTTAAAGAAATGAAAACGTCAGCCTTTGTTAAGGATCTTTCGATGCTGCATCTTTATTCACAGAATGATTGAATCGAATATTAGAAATAATGTCAAAATTAGGTGTTTTATTTTGAAATAAATGTTAATTACAGAGTTTATAATACTAATTCAGTGAATACCAATGATTATTTTGATTTTCAGTTGAGACATTTAAGTGTTCAAATAAAATTTTCGGAATAAATTGATTGACCTTTTGTCAATATAATTGATATTATGCTGATGGATCAGAGTATTTATCACAAATATTCACTGGATGTTGGAGAATGGCTTGACTTCCTTCACGCTCAGCCATTTTTCATTTGATCGTAGAGTTCCCTCTGAGTCGAATGGCACCTTAGCCCAACTGCCAAACGTTAGCTGCAATTTGATGTGTTCAGGCCGAGTTTTTATTATTGCGAGCATCTCGTTATACGTGTCGATGTTGAATTTAAAACTTCTTGCAATGATTTTCAAGCACGACAATCGATCAGTTTCACGAAGCATTTCCACGATCCCATGTTGTATGACATTTACTGGATACCAACCGGTGACAACCAATTCGGTGAGCAATTTCAAGCCTTTCGATATGACCAATAAATGTGCATCATTCACCCATTCCATGTTGAGCAGTTCCAGTACCTTGATCGATTCCAACTTAGAAATAGCTGTGGCTACAATTACACCGTGATCAAATGTACCATAGTTGAGTGACAAATGCTCAATGGCAATATTATTTTCTGCAAGTCCTCTAAGTAAGCGGTAAACAGGATATCTACGGGCATTTATTTTCAACACTTTTAAATTGTTCAGCGCAAATAAAGACGAGCAATTGAGTTGAAACATTTTTTCACGACCACTACACTGCCATCCATTTAATTCAAGCTCTTCCAAGTCTTTCAATTCACCGATTGCTTCATAAACACGAGATGCAGATGGTACTGATCGCTCGCGAAGAAAAATCGATAAGACTTTCAAATGTTTGGCTGTATTGATGAATGTTGTCAGTGGCTTATAGACACGAACAGGGTATGGTAAACAATTGAAATCGTTAAGGGCCAGTTTCAATACTTTCAAATTGTCTTTGAATGGACTCCAGTCGCATTGACCAATAGTGGCTGTTTCAAGATTGAATATTTCCAATGATTCAAATAAGTCCGTCAACTCTGTCATCGAAGCGGGTGTTATGATGAATCGACTGAGTGAGAGCTCGGTCAATGTATTCGAACGACAATACTTTGCAATCAGCGACAATAATTTACGTGAAGCAGTTTTCTCGTTGTGTGGAAATAAATCGCGTGCCATGTTTAATGATGAAGCTACACCACCAAAGTTACGAAGTAACCGCAATGCCAACTTCGGGTTGCGTCTGGCTAATGACACCAAGTCAAGTCGATGGTGCTTCAAATGGAAGTGGTACTGTGCCAATGCCTGTGTACGCTTGCAGGTTTCAGCGATATCGCACAGTTCGATCACATTCATATTTCCGATGATTGCCAGCAAACAATCGTCATTTAGATCCATCAATCGAAGTGGACCCTTGCGCTTCCGTTTTCCATCCGTACTCTCTTTGTGTTCTGCAACGACAAGTTCATTTCTGGTACTGCTTCTGAGCGTGTACCTGTTTTGTTTGGACGACGATGGTCCTTCATCGGTCATCTTGACTATTTAAATGAAAAATAAAACATAAAGAGAATTATGTTGTATTTCATTATTCCATGATGGCTTATATTGGCCACATGACTGCGGTTTTGAATCAAGCAAGCTTACCGATTTTGTGGTTATGTATTGTCCTACACGCTAACGCAGAAGTACGGAATTATATCCAGCAATAAATTCAGAAAAAAATCAAATGGCACTGACGAATCACTGTAGGTGAATGGATAGATACAGAGTTGTAACTCGTTTGAACATTTAGTATAAGGAAGGAAAATGTCTTGATTATTTTTAATATCGGATCATTCCAAGAAAAATGTCTTTACTTACATAGCAAAATGTCGTCGTATGAAATATTCGTTCGAAATATTCGTACCACTCACACTTTACCAATTTTGTTTTCAATTCAACAAATTAATTTGCATGTGCGTAAATAAATTTTAGCGGTAAAACTGAAGAGAGTCTTCCACGATTTTTTCTGTGGAAAAATAGCTTTTTCGAACGCAATAGAATGAATGCTGTGCAGCCCGTTGTGAAATTCGAAGTGTGTTGTATGACGATTCAGTTCATACCGTTTCGAAGGAGTCGTTGTTTGACGCAGAGATACAGATACACTTGCAAACACTCTGCTCCGAATATGACTTTCTCACTAATGCCTAAAGCTAAGCTACGCAGCGAAAGAGTTAAGAAGAATTGTTATATTGAAACCAAAGAGTCGTATCACAGAAAAGGAGTGAGTTTGAGTCTCACACTTAATCGAAAAAATATTGCACCGACTACAGACAACAACCACACAAACAATGAATATTCAATACCATACAATACTAATACTATGAAACATACCATAGGCGACTTCAATAGCGATGCGTAGTTTGATAATCAGAGCAAACAGGAATGTGAAAAATGAGAATATCTGCTTATAAAATGCTTTGTTGACCTTTTATGCCACATTTTTATTCAAATAATGATTGAATTGAACATTGGAAAAACTATGGAATTAATTTGCATCATTTTGAAATAAATCTGAATTACAGAGTTTGTAATATTGATTTAGTGTTTTTATTTTTATTTTTAATTGACACATTTATGTATTCAACCTATATTTTCGGAATAAATTCATTGACCTTTTGTCAAAAAAGTTGATATTATGCTGATGGATCACAGTATTGATCGCAAACATTTACTGAATGTTGAAGAGTGGCGAGACTGCTTTCACGCTCAACAATTTGTCGTTTGATCGTAGATTTCCTTCTGGGTCGAATGGCTCCCTAGACCAGTGGCCAAATATCAGTTGCAATTTAATGTGTTCAGGGCGATTTTTAATTATTGCGAGCATCTCGTCATACGTGCCGATGTTGAATTGGAAATGACATGTGTTGATTTTCAAGCAGGACAATCGGTCAGCTTCACGAAGCATTTCCACGATTCCTTGTTGTGTGACATTTACTGAAATCCAACCGGTAACAACCAATTCGGAGAGCAATTTCAAGTCGTTCACTATGATTAGTAAATGTGCGTCAATCACCATTCTCGCGTTAAGCAGTTTCAAAACCTTGATCGTTTTCAACTTGCCAATAGCTATGGCATCGTCAAAAATATCACCAAATTTTACACATGTGACCGACAAATGCTCAATGGCAATATTATTTGCTGCAAGTCCTTCAACGAGCTGCTGAACAGAATATCCATGGCAGTTTATTTTCAACACCTTCAAGTTGTTCAGGGCAAACAAATACGTGCAAATGCGTTGAAATGTTTTTTCACAACCACCAAGACTCCGTTCATTTAATTCAAGCTCTTCCAAGTCTTTCAATTCGGATATTGCTTGATAGACACGCGTACGCGACTGTGTTAATCGCGTGCTACTACAAATCGATAAAACTTGTAAAGCTGTTGTTGTATTGACGAATGTGATCAGTGGCTTGTAGACTGGGAATCGGTATGTTGAGTCACAAAAGTCGCTATCTTTCAGCTTCAATACTTTCAGGTTGTCTTTGAACGGGCTCAAGTCGCAATCTTTAATAGTGGTGTTTTCAAGTTTCAAAATTTCCAATGATCCGAATAATTCCTTCAAATCTTTCATCGAAGCGGGTGTTATGATGAATCGACTGAGTGAGAGCTCGGTCAATGTATTCGGACGACAATACTTTGCAATTAGCGACAACAATTTGCGTGAAGCAGCTTCCTGTTTGTGTGAAAACAGAACGTTGCGTGTCATGTTTAATGACGAAGCATGGCCACCAAAATTACGAAGCAAACGCAATGCCAGCTTCAGGTTGTGTCCAGCCAATGATATCAAGTCAAGGCGATGATGATGCTTCAAGCGAAATGTGTACTGCACCAATTCCTGTGTACGCTTGCAGGTTTCAGCGACATCGCTAAGTTCGATCACATTCATATTTCCGAAGACTGCAAGCAGACAGTCGTCGTTAAGATCCATCAATCGAAGTGGACCCTTGCGCTTCCGCTTTCCATCCGTACTCTCGTTGTGTTCTGCAATGGCAAGTCCACTTCTGGTATTGCTTCTGAGCATGTACCTGGTTTGTTTCGCCGACGATGGTCCTTGGTCGGTCATCTTGGCTATTCAAATGAAGAAGAAAGAAACATAAGGAGAATGATTATGTTGTATTTAATTATTAATTGATGGCATATGTTGGCCACACGACAGTGGTTTGGAATAAGATATACTCACCGATTTTATGGTTATGTATTGTTAAAACACCCCAACGCAGAAATATGAAATTACATCCAACACCGGATTTGACAAAAATCAAATGGCAATGACGAATCACTGTTCCAGAGGAAAAATGCAGAGTTGGAAATTGAAACGAAAGCAATGCTATTTTTGATATACGATCATTCTAATGAAATTTTCATTACTTACATGACAAAATGTCGTCGTTTGTAATGCTCGTGCGAAAATTGATTGTCAATCAAAGTGCATCAATTCTACTTTCGATCCAACAAATTAACTTTTATCTATGTTAGTAAACAAATTTCAACGTCAAAACTGCAGATAGTTTTCAACGAATTAGTCCATGAAAAAATAGCTTTCTCGAACGCAATACAATGAATGCCGTGAGGCCGGTTGCGAAATTCAAAGTGTGTTCAGTTCATTCGACAACGTACCACTTTGAAGGAGTCGTTGTTTGACGCGGAGATACAGATACACTTGCAAACACTCTGTTCCGATTATGATTTTCCCACTAACACATAAAGCCAAGCTACGCAGCGAAAGCGTTAAAAAGAACTTTTTTATAGAAACCAAACAGTCGTATCACAGCAAAGGAGTGAGTTTGCATACGTACACTCGATTGAATACATATTGTACCGGCCACAACAACCACACAAACAATGGATATTCAATACAAAACCAATACTATCAAACATACCGCAAGCAAATTCAAAAGTGATTCGTAGTTCACCTATGGGACGAAATGTGATAATGAAGGAACACCGAAAGTCGCTACTGAAGGAATTGAACAACGCATTTATATTGTAAGGGTGGATTCATTCATTTGCGTCCTTCTTTGCACCAAATATCATGAAATGAGCATCATCATTGCCAATTGACAATAAGGGCGAACAAAAAATTAAAAAAAAATGAAAATATCTTCTTATAAAACGCTTTTTTAAGGATCTGGGTTTAATACTGCATTTTTATTAACAGAATGATCAAATTGAACATTGTAAAAAAATGTCGAAATTATGTGTTTTATTTGGAATTGAATGTTAATTACAGAGTTTGTAATACTGGTTCAGTGAATTCCACTGATTATTTTGATTTTTATTCAATGAATTTCCGATTCCCATCTAAATTTTTGGAATAAATTCATTGATCCAGTCTTAATGTAGAAATTATGATTAGCATAACATGGTTATGCTCACGTATAAAAGTGTTGAACGACTACATTTCGTGATTCAAGAATGACGACACTTCTTTCACGCATAGCCATTTATCATTTGATCGTGGAATTCCTTCTGGGTCGAATGGCACATGCAAACAATTGCCAAATGTTAGATACAATTTGTTGTGTTCAGGGCGATTTTTAATTATTGCGAGCATCTCGTTATATGTGTCCATGTTGAATTCAAAACTGTGTGCGTAGATTTTTATACATGAAAGACGGTCAGCTTCACGAAGCACTTCAACGATTCCGTCTTGTGTGACATCTGCCATAGACCAAATGGTAACAACCAATTCGGTGAGTAATTTCAAGCCTTTCGCTATGACCAGTAAATGTGCATCATTTACGTTCTCCATTTCGAGCAGTTTCAATACCTTGATCGTTTTCAAGTTGGAAATAGCTATCGGCTCGCCAAAACCGTCAATGAATCCACCATTTCTGAGTGACAAGTGCTCAATGGCTACATTATTTGCTGCAAGTGCTTCAACGAGGTACTGAACAGTTCGAGCCCAGCAGTGTATTTTCAACACTTTTAAATTGTTCAGAGCAAGTAAATATGACCAATTGCGTTGGAATGTTTCTTCACTGTCAACATAATTCAGTTCAAATTCAAGCTCTTCCAAGTCTTGCAATTTACCAATTGCTCTGAAGACGCGAGACGGAACTTTTAGCTCGCGAAGACAAATCGATAAAACTTTTACAGCTCTTGCTGTGTTGGCGAATGTAATCAGTGGCTTGTAGACTTGATCAAGGTATGATGAATCATAGAAGTCGCTATGGTCCAGCTTTAATACCTTCAGGTTATCTTTGAACGGGCTCAACGTGCAGTCTTTTATAGTGCTGTTTTCAAGTTTCAAAATTTCCAATGATCCAAATAATTCCTTCAAATCTTTCATCGAAACGGGTGTTATGGTGAAAAAATCGAGTGAGAGCTCGGTCAATACATTCGGACGACAGTACTTTGCAATTAGCGCCAACAATTTACGTGAAGCAGCTTCCTCTTTGTGTGGAAATAAATTGCGTGCCATGTTCAATGATAAAGCTTCGCCCCCAAAACTTCGAAGCAATCGCAATGCCAGCTTCGGGTTATGTCCAGCTAATGATAGCAAGTCAAGTCGATGGTGCTTCAAATGGAAGTGGTACTGTGCCAATGCCTGTGTACGCTTGCAGGTTTCAGCGATATCGCACAGTTCGATCACATTCATATTTCCGAAGATTGCCAGGAAACAGTCGTCATTTAGATCCATCAATCGAAGTGGACCCTTGCGCTTCCGTTTTCCATCCGTACTCTCGTTGTGTTCTGCAATGGCAAGTCCACTTCTGGTACTGCTTCTGAGCATGTACCTGATTTGTTTGGCTGACGATGGTCCTTCATCGGTCATCTTGACTATTTGAATGAAAAATAAAACATAAAGAGAATTATGTTGTACTTCATTATTCCATGATGGCTTATATTGGCCACATGACTGCGGTTTTGAATCAAGCAAGCTTACTGGTTTTGTGGTTATGTATTGTCCAACACGTTGACGCAGAAGTATGAAATTATATCCAGCACCAAATTCAGGAAAAATCAAATGGTAATGACGAATCACTGATGGGATGGAGAGATAAAGAATTGTTATTCATTTGGAAATTGAATCCAATTGGTCTCAATTGATGCTTTTTTGAAACGAGATTATTCTAAGGAAATTTCCATTACTTACATATCAAAATGTCGTCGTTTGTAATCCTCGTTCGAAAATTTATCGTCAAACAAAGTGCATCAATTTTGCTTTCGATTCAAACGATTTAATTTAAATGTGAATGAGTAGATTTCGGGGAAATATTGGTGAAAAAAAAACTTCAACTAAAATTGTACGAAGCACGAAGTCTCTTCAACGAGTTATTCCGTGGGAAAAGAAACTAAATTGATTCGACGCAATAGAATGAATGCTCTGCAATCGGTTGCGAATCTCAAAATGATTGAACGAGAATGTCACTGAACATCATCGAAAAGCAATCATATAAACAGATCAGTTTCTTACACCAACACTTTGTCATTATATAAACAAAGGCAGCGACAAAGCGACTCAGTGAAAGATGCAGAACTGTCCGTGTTTATTTGTGTCGGCATTTCACGGTCATTTATTGTTGCCGCATATGATAAACGCTATAATACATACACAGATGAAACCATTGAGTCAGGAGAAACGATGAAGAATGAAAAGAGTGTAGTTAACATTGATGCAAACCAAATATTTAGTCACTCGCTTGCAATTGATTTTGTCCACTTTGGAAGAAAATCCAAGATTATTTCATCGTTTTTCAATTATGATGGTGTGTTGGGCACTGTATTGAAAGATGAAGCTCTAAACCATTGCAATTTACTCTCAAAATCTCAATCAAATATTCTTGAGCTGCTTTCTGAATGGAAGAATTCTATTTTGAAGAAGAAGAGAACAATTGGAGTTTTGCATGAAATATTGTGGTTGAAGTGTTTAACGTGAATTTTCACTTTGATTCGCAAATCTCTCGTATCTTAGCTTGCTTTGCTGTAGACTTTAGGCCAATCCAAAGGAGATATTTTTGAACGAAATCGACAAGTATTCAGCATTCGATGAACGCGTTAGTTTTGCAATTGCCCAATTTTCCCAAAGTCAAAAGTAATTAATTGATTTGATTTTTTCTGCAAGGAATACCTAAACATTGGATGCAAAAGGCGAGAAGATCAGCAAAGGTCTCACCAAGAAGCTTGAAAAATAACAACTTACCCAAGAAAAGATGTATAACGAATACCTGCATCTCTAAAAAAAAACGGCTGAAGAATGTCTAATTTAAAAACTTGAGTTATGGCATTTTTCTACAAACAGCAACTGGAAATAACAACTTTTTAAATCGCTTTGTTAAGGGTTTTAGTTTAATAGTGTATTTTTATTCACAGAATGATTAAATTGAACATTAAAAAAATATATGGGAAATATACGTTTTATTTTGAAATAAATGTTGATTTCAAAGTTTGTAATACTTTCATTCAGCGATCATCACTGATTATTTTCAGTATCAGCTGACAAATTTTTGTTTTCAATCTAAATGTTTGCATTGAATTTATTGACTTTTTCGCAATATAGCAATTATCCCTGATGAATGGGAGTATTGATCGAAAATATTCATCAATCGTCGTAGAGTGTCGAGACTTCCTTCACGCTCAGCCATTTGTCGTTTGATCGTAGATTTCCTTTACGGTCGAATGACTCCCCAGACCAGTGGCCAAATATCACCTGCAATTTGATGTGTTCAGGGCGTTTTTTTATTATTGCGAGCATCTCGTTATACGTATCGATGTTGAATTTGAATTGACGTGTGCTGATTTCCAACCACGATAATCGATCGGCTTCACGAAGCATTTCAACGATTCCTTGTTGTGTAGCATTCACTGAAAACCAACCGATGACAACTAATTCGGTGAGCAGTTTCAAACCTTTCGCCATGACCAGTAAATGTGCATTATTCACGTTTCCCATTACGAAAAGTTTCAAAATCATAATCGATTCCAACTTGGAAATAGCTGTGGCTACGCTCACACCGTTATCAAATGTACCATTTTTGAGTGACAAATGCTCAATGGCAATATTATTTGCTGCAAGTCCTTCAACGAGGTGCTGAACGAAATAACCATGGCAGTTTATTTTTAACACTTTTAAATTGTTCAGTGCAAATAAATGCGAGCAATTGCGTTGGAACGTTTTTCTACAAGTATCTCGGCCATCCAATTCAAGCTCCTTCAAATCTTTAAATTTACCAATTGCTATAAAAACGCGTGACGGAAGTGATGGCCCGTGATTATCAATCGACAAAACTTTCAAAGATTTGGCGGTGTTGACGAATTTTATCAGTGAATTGTAGATTCGAGCAGGGTATGGTGAGTAATGGAAGTTGCCAAGAGCCATGTTCAATACTTTCAAGTTGTCCTTGAATGGGCTCAAGTCACAGTCTTCCATAGTGGTCTTTTCAAGTTTCAACATTTCCAATGATCCGAATAATTCCTTCAAATCTTTCATCGGATCAGGTGTTATGATAAATTGACTGAGTGAGAGCTCGGTCAATATATTTGGACAACAGTACTTTGCAATCAGCGACAACAATTTACGTGAAGCAACTTTCTCTTTGTGTGGAAATAAATCGCGTGCCATGTTCAATGATAAAGCTTCGCCGCCAAAATTTCGAAGCAACCGCAATGCCAGCTTCGGTTTGGGTCCAGCTAATGATACCAAATCAAGTCGACGATGCTTCAAATGAAAGTGGTACTGCGCCAATGCCTGTGTACGCTTGCAGGTTTCAGCGACATCGCACAGTTCGATCACATTCATATTTCCGATGATTGCCAGCAAACAGTCGTCATTTAGATCCATCAATCGAAGTGGACCCTTGCGCTTCCGTTGTCCATTTGTGTCCTCATTTTGTTCTGCAACGACAAGTCCATTTCTGGTACTGCTTCTGAGCATGTACCTGGTTTGTTTGGCTGACGATGATCCTTCATCACTCATTTTAGCTAAATAGTCAATGAAGAAGAAAACAACAATCGAATGATTATATTTTATTTCAGTCTTAATAGATGGCATATGTTGGCCACATGACTATCGTTTTGAATCAGATGCACTCACCAATTTTGTGGTTATGTATTGTCCAACACACCAAAGTATGGAAATCGTATCCTACACCGAATTCGATAAAGTCAAATGGCACTGATGAACCACTGTTTGAATAGAGAGATACAGAGTTTTCATTCATTTGGGAATTAAACTCAACCAAAATGTATTCTCAATTGCTTTTTTATACGAGGTCATTCTAAGAAAATTTCCATTACTTACATACCAAAATATCGTCGTATGTAATATTCGTTCGAAATTTGGTCGCCACTCACACTGTATCAATTTTGCTTTCGATCCAACCAATTAACTTATGTATAATGTGCGTAAAAGAATTTGAATGGTAAAACTGCAAAAAGTCTTCAATGAATTATTCCATGAAAAATTGCTTTTTTAAACGCAATAAAATGAAAAATGCACATCCTGTTGTGAAATTCAAAGTGTATTGTATGACAGTTCAGTTCATTTGACAACCTACCGTTTCGAAGGAGTCGTTGTTTGACGCAGAGATACAGATACACTTGCAAACACTCTGCTCCGATTATGATTTTCTCACTAACACATAAAGCCAAGTTACGCAGCGAAAGAGCTAAGAAGAACTGTCTCATTCAAACCGAAGAGTCGTATCACAGCAAAGGAGTGAGTTTGAGTCGCACACTTAATCGAAAAAATATTTGACCGGTCACAAACAACAATCACACAAACAATCGATATTCAATGCAATACTAATAAACTACTATGAAACACACGCTAAGGAATTTCGATAGCGATGCGTAGTCCACCAATGGGACATAATTCAATAATGAAATTTGCGCCAAACAAGGGCAAACAAGAGTGTAAAAATAATGAAAATTTCTGCTTATAAAATGCTTTGATAAAGATCTTGGTTTAACACTATGACGGTTTTTGGGGAATCCAGGGCCCCAAGCGAAATTTAAAGTTTACTAAAAGTACTAAACAGTGTATAAACCAACCGGAGCTAGGTCTCATTGTATAGATTGAACATTTCTCTACACAAATGACATATGCACATATGCATATGTGTGAGTATGTGTAAAATAAACCATCTCGTTATCTCTTATCAGTTTCGCGGAATGCGCGAGAAACCGCAGAAAACCGTGAAAAACGCGAATGTTTTCTTATCATTTTTTCGCGTAACTTATAAGAGATAGCGATTCGGTGTCTGTAGCAAATTATAGTACTCGATCAGAGCTACAACTTTGCCATAGGCACCATCTCGTTATCTCTTATCAGTTCCGTGAAAAATGATAAGAAAAAACGCGTTTTTCGCGGTTTTCAGCGGTTTCTCGCGTATTCCGCAAAACTGATAAGAGATAACAAGATGATTTTCGGCAAAGTTGTAGAGCAGCTTCAGTACTACAACTTCGTCGTAGACATCAAGTCGTTTTCTCTCATCAGTTACGCGGAAACCGCGAATTTTTTCTTATCATTTTTCCGCGTAACTGATAAGATATAACGACTTGATGTCTATGGTGAAGTTGTAGTATTCGACCTGCTCTACATTTCTGCCGAAGAAGCAAGTCTCTTACTTCTTATCAGCTTCACTAAAAATGAGGTGGGAAAATTTCGCGATTTTTCGCGGAACTGATAAAGAATAAGCAATATTTGTTGCAGCAAAATTATAGCAAACCTCGAGTATTACAACTTTGCTTCAGACACTATTTTGTTATCTCTTATCACAGTCCAGATTTCATATGAAGTATATATGGGGCCCTGGAGACCCCAAAGAACAGAAATAGGTAAAAAGTGTGAAGAACCGTCAAAGTGTTAATAATAATACATTTCTATTCAAAGAATGATTGAATTGAACATTGTAATTTAATGTGGAAATTATGTGTTTCATTTTGAAATGAATTTTATTTACAGAGTTTGTAATATTTTCATTCAGTGATCACCACTGATTATTTAGATTTTTAAATGATGAATTTTACTTTTCAATGTAAATGTTTGCATTGAATTTATTGTCGTTTTTGCAGTATAGTAATTATGCTGATGGAGTAGAGTATTGATCGAAAACATTCACTGAATGTTTTAGTGTGGTTAGATTTCTTTCACGCTCAGCCATTTGTCGTTTGATCTTAGAGTTCCTTCTGGGTCAAATGGCGCCACAAACTGATTTCCAAACGATAACTGCAATTTGATGTGTTCAGAGCGATTTTGAACTATTGTGAGCATTTCGTTATAGGTGTTGATGTTGAATTTGAAACTTCTTGCAACGATTTTCAAGCACGATAGACGGGCAGTTTCACGAAGCATTCTAACGATTCCTTGTTGTGTAACATTCACTGAAAACCAACCGAGGACAACTAATTCGGTGAGCAGTTTCAAGCCTTTCGCCATGACCAGTAAATGTGCATTATTCACGTTTCCCATTACGAAAAGTTTCAAAATCTTAATCGATTCCAACTTGGAAATAGCTGTGGCTACGTTGAAACCTTCATCAAATCGGCCATCTTTGAGTGACAAATGTTCAATGGCAACATTATTTGCTGTAAGTCCTTCAACGAGGTACTGAACAGAATATCCATGGCAATTTAATTTCAATACTTTTAAATGGTTCAGCTCCAACAAATGCCGGCAAATTTGTCGAAACGTTTTTTCACAATCACCAAGACCCTGTTCATCTAATTCAAGCTCTTTCAAGTCTTTCAATTCACCAATTGCTTGACAGATACGCGACGGTACTGATCGCGTGCTACTACAAATCGATAGACATTGTAAAACTTTTTTTGTGTTGATGAATGTTATCAGTGGCTTGTAGACTGGAACAGGGTATGCTGAGTCACAAAAGTCGCTATCTTTCAGCTTCAATACTTTCAGGTTACCTTTGAACGGACCCAAGGTGCAGCCTTTGATAGTGGTGTTTTCAAGTTTCAACATTTCCAATGATCCGAATAATTCCTTCAAATCTTTCATCGAAACGAGCGCTATGCTGAATTGACTGAGTGAGAGCTGGGTCAATACGTTCGCACGACAGTACTTTGCAATCAGCGACAACAACTTGCGTGAAGCAGCTTCCTTTTTGTGTGGAAATAAATCGCGTGCCATGTTTAATGATGAAGCATGGCCACCAAAATTTCGGAGCAACCGTAATGCCAGCTTCGGGTTATGTCCAGCTAATGACACCAAGTCAAGTCGACGTTGCTTCAAATGGAAGTGGTACTGCGCCAATGCTTGTGTACGCTTGCAGGTTTCAGCGACATCACACAGTTCAATCACATTCATGTTTCCGAAGACTGCAAGCAAACAGTCGTCATTGAGATCCATAAATTTTAGTTGACCCTTGCGCTTCCGTTTTCTTTCCGTACTCACATTGTGTTCTGTAACTAGATGCCCATTTTTAGTACTGCTTCTGAGCATGTACCTGGTTTGTTTCGCTGACGATGGTCCTTCATCGGTCATCTCGGCTTTTCAAATGAAGAGGAAAACCTAAATAGAATGATTATGTTTTGTTATTCATTGATAGTTAATGTTGGCACACGAATGGGGTTTTGAATCAGATGCACTTACCGATTTTGTGGTTATGTATTGTCCAACACGCGCAAGTATCAAAATTATATCCAACACCGAATTTGTAAAAATCAAATGGCAATGACGAATCACTGTTTTAATGGAGAGATAGAGAGTTGTAATTCATTTGGAAATTGATCCCAACGCAAAATTTGTATCAATTGATGCTATTTTTGATATAAGATCATTTTGAGAATATTTCCATAACTTACATATCAAAATGCCCTCGTTTGTATTACTCGTGCGAAAATTAGTCGGCACTTACACTGCATTAATTTTGCTTTCGATCCAATAACGTAATTTTCATGTACGTAAATAAATTTTAGCAGCAAAGCTTGAAAAAGACTTCCACGATTTAGTCTGTGAAAAAATAGCTTTTTTGAAAGCAATAGAATGAATGCCGTGTAGCCCGTTGCAAAATTCAAAGTGATTTGTATGACAGTTCAGTCCATTTGACAACATACCGTTCGAAGGAGCCGTTGTTTCACATGGATATACAGATACACTTGCAAATACTCTGCTCCGAATATGATTTTCTCACTAACACATAAAGCCAAGCTACGCATCAAAAGAGTTGAGAAGAATTTTTATATTGAAATCAAAGAATCGTATCACAGCAATGGAGTGAGTTTGAGTCGCATACTTAATCGAATACATAATGCACCGGTCACAGACAACAACCAACACAAACAATGGAAATTCAATACAATACGAATAATAATATTTGCGCCAAATGTCACAAAACGACCATCATCATTGCCAATTTGATAATCAGGTCAAACAAGAATTTGAAGAAAAAATGAAAATTTCAGCTTATAAAACGCTTTGATAAAGATCTTGGTTTAATATTGCATTTTTATTGACAGAATTGAACATTGTAAAATGTAAATGATGTGGAAATCAAGTGTTTTATTTTGAAATGAATGTTGATGACAGAGTTTATGATACTTTTTTTTACCTCTGATCATTTTGAGTTTCAGTTGATGTTTCGAACCTAAGGTTTTGGAAAGAAATCATTGATGATGTCTCGATGTAGTAGTTATGATTAGCATAACGTGGTTATGCTGATAGAACAGAGTTTTGATCGACTACATTTGGTGAATAAAGGATGGATAAACTTCCTTCACGCTCAGCCATTTGTCGGTTGATCGTAGGTATCCTTTCGGATCGAATGGCTCCTCAAACCAACTGCCAAACGTTAACTGCAATTTGAAATGTTCAGGGCGATTTTTTATTATGGCGAGCATCTCGTTATACGTGTCGATGTTGAATTTAAAACTTCTTGCAATTATTTTCAAGCACGACAATCGATCAGTTTCACGAAGCATTTCCACGATTGCTTGTTGCGTGACATTTACTGAAAACCAACCGGCGACAACCAATTCGGTGAGCAATTTCAAGCCTTTCGCTATTACCAATAAATGTGGATCATCCACGCATTTCATGTCGAGCAGTTTCAATATCTTGATCGTTTCCAACTTGGAAATAGCTGTGGCTACGCTTACACCTTTATCAAATCGGCCATTTTCGAGTGACAAATGCTCAATGGCAATATTATTTGCTGCAATCCCTTCAACGAGGTGCTGAACAGAATGTCCTTGGCAGTTTATTTTCAACACTTTTAAATTGTTCAGCACAAATAAATACGAGCAATTACGTTGGAAAGATATTTCACGATTTCTATGACAACGTTCATCCAATTCAAGCTCTTGCAAGTCTTTCAGTTCACCAATTGCTTGATGGACACGTGACATTAAAAATAGGTACTGATGGGACTTGACAAATATCTCGCTACTATGAATCGATAAAACTTTCAAGGCTTCGGCTCTGTTGATGAATTTTATCAGTTTTTCGTAGACTTGAGCAAGATATAGTTCAGTACATGAGTCACTATGGTACAGTTTCAATACTTTCAATTTGTCGTTGAACGAGCTGAAGTCGAAGTCTTTGATAGTGGTGTTTTCAAGTTTCAACATTTCCAATGATCTGAATAATTCCTTCAACTCTGTCATCGAAACGGACGTTATGGTGAATTCACTGATTAAGAGCTCGGTCAATGTATTAGGACGACAGTACTTTGCAATCAGCGACAACAATTTACGTGAAGCAGTTTCCACTTTGTGTGGAAACAAAACATTGCGTGCCATGTTTAATGATGAAGCTACACCGCCAAAGCTACGAAGCAACCGTAATGCCAGCTTCGGGTTGGGTCCAGCTAATGACACCAAGTCAAGTCGCCGATGCTTTGAATGGAATGTGTACTGTGCCAATGCCTGTGCACGCTTGGAGGTTTCAGAGACATCGCACAATTCGATCACATTCATATTTTTGAAGATCGCCAGCAAGCATTCGTTACAGAAATCCATCAATTGTAGTGAATCCTTGCGTTTCCGTTTTCCATCCGTGCTCTCGTTGTGTCCTTCTATGAGAAGCCGATTTCTAGTATTGCTTTTGAGCAAGTATCTGGTTTGTTTCGCTGACGATGGTCCTTCATTGGCCATCTTGGCTATTCAAATAAAAAAGAAAATATAAATAGAATGATTATTTTGTATTTCATTATTCATTGATGGCATATGTTGGCCACATGACTGTGGTTTTGAATCAGATGCGCTTACCGATTTTGTGGTTATGTTTTGTCCAACACGTTGACGCAGAAGCATGAAATTATATCCAGCACCAAATTCAGAAAAAATCAAATGGTAATGACGAATCACTGATGGGATGGAGAGATAAAGAATTGTTATTCATTTGGAAATTGAATCCAACGCAAAATTGGTCTCAATTGATGCTTTTTTTGAAACGAGATTATTCTCAGGAAATCTCCATTACTTACATATCAAAATTCCGTCATTTGTAATGCCCGTTTGAAAATTGATCGTCAATCAAATTTCGTCGAATTAATTCGAATGTAAATCAGTAGAGAATAATAGCAAAAAATGGCGAAAAAATCTGCAACAAAAACTGTACGAAACACAAAATCTCTTCAACGAATTATTCCATAGGAAAAGAAACTAAATTGATTCGACGCAATAGAATGCATGCTCTGCAGTCAGTTGCGAATCTCAAAGCGAATGAGCGAGAATGTTCGGTTCAGTTTGTCAGCAGAAGAATTCAAAAATGCTTCATCATGGCGAAAGAGTGTGTTTGATGCCATAGACCACATCAACGAAAAGCAATCATATAAACAGATCAGTTTCTTACGCTAACACTTTGTTATAATATAAACAAAGGCAGCAGCAAAGTGACTCAGTCAGTAAAGTATGCAGAACTGTTCTTGTTTATTTGTGTCGGCATTTCACGGTCATTTATTGTTGCCGCATATGATAAACGCTATAATACATACACAGATGAAACCATTGAATCAGAAGAAACGAAGAAGGAAGTGAAGAGTGTAGTTAACATTGATGCAAACAAAATCACTTTGGTCACTCGCTTGCAATTGATTTTCTCCTCATTAGAAAAAAAAACCAAGATTATTTCATTTTTTATTTGTGATAGTGTGTTAGACACTGTATTGAAAGATGAAACTCTCGACCATCACAATTTACTCTCAAAATCCCAATCGAATGTTCTTCACTTGCTTAGGAAATCGTTGAAGTTTTGAAGAAGAAGAAGAAGAAGAAGAAGAGAACGATTGAAATTTTGTAGGAAATATTGTGGTTGAAGTGATTAACATATATTCTCAAGCGAAGTGAAAATCTCTCCTATCTTAGCTTGCTCTGCTATGGATTTTTCATGACTTTCATTGTCATCGTTTGACTTTTCAAAGTACAAACAACTCATTGATTATTTTTCGAAGTAGCTCTGGCAATATAATTTGTAGCATAGTTAATGTGCGCGAAGCTCATTAGGAGCAGAGAGAGAAAAAAAATGGGTGGTCTTGATTGATTGACGTTGTTGATTATGCGGTTTGCATACAAGTCTCGAACAATTAACAATGCGAACGAGAAAAAGTTCATGTTTTTCAATTGGGTGGAGTTGTAATCGCCACCAATGTGACAACTCGTCGAAAAGTTTGTTATTTTTTTTTACTGGTAACACTTGCAATTTGTAAGAATAATTTATGGGTTGATTGCTGTATTGATATCAATCTACGGCTTGTTTGCTAAACCTTCCTACTTTCAAGGTTTAGAAGACGAAAAAAGAATTAATGGTAAAAAGGGAAGAATGAATGGAATACACTCGACGTACGTTTCTTTTTCAATAATTACAATAAGTAATTCAAATGAAGAGATCAAAAGTTCGGCATAATATTTAGCCGGGATTTGCATGAAATACACAGTTAAATCATCAATTTCGACAAATTGCTCGTTGCCACGAATTAGCTTAATTGTTGTTATTCCCATTTTGCTGGCATAAAATTCGAAAAAATCATTGCATTCGAAATTGAATTGCCCACTTGCAACCAAATTCAGCGAAGCAAATTGTTTGGAAATCCATCATGAAATGAATACGCCGCTTTATTTAACGGTTCATTTGTTTTAAGATGGCGTGTTGTTGTGTATCGTTCAATTAAATATTCCGTGTTTCTTTGTGTGGTGCGTTTCATTAATCCAAGTGAACGAAATGGAGGTTTGAAAAAAGTGGTGTACTTTGAAAATTTCTGTTCCCGTTAACTGGATTGAGCCTGCGTCTGTTTGCCGATGATCCACACAACCAACTGCATTGAAAACACAGAACGGAATAAATTCCGTTTCAAGTCCCTTCAATCGAGAGAGAGAAAGTGTGCTCGCATTTATAATTTATGCAGAAATCAACAACGAATGTTAGTTAGTCTTCTCTCTTCGTTCTTTTTTTTCCCAAATTGAATCGCGTACACGCGTTTTTTTCACTCGTCTTCCTTTTTTATACATTTGAAAGAAAAAAAAATGTTACCCTTATAAAAAATTGACTCAGTGATGCAGATTAGGCACACATTAAAAAAAAAACGAGAGAGAGAATTTCAAAATAGGAAATGAAAAACACACGCAGGATGATGATGATGACGATGAAAAAAAAAAGAATCGGGTTGAATTACAAGTGGGTAAAAAAAAAAAATGTGGGTAGTCAAAATCTGTGTCGAATGCACGGTACATTGGAAAAAAATATAAAGAGGATATGCAAATGAGATATCGAAGTCGACGCTCATGCTCATACAACAAACACATTTGATTTGATTTTCCAGTTGTATCGCACAGCCTCAAATGAATTACAGTGCAATATGAGAACGGGAAAACTTCGGCAGAACGAACGAAGTGAGTTTTCAATGTGGTTCGTATAATGAGCATGTATTGTGATGCTTACAATGATATCTGGTCCGCAGGTGATGGGTTACATCAATCAAAAACATGATTTCGATGCCCAATTAACACCAGCAAAACATACAATTTGAATGGAAAACAAGATGATTGTATGAAAAAAAAAATACCCTGAACGAAGCTAAATTCTCTGAAATCATGGGCCATGTT